CGTTTCGAGTAGTCCTGAGAGGTCTACATTCAACCACTCCTATATCTGTCATCAAAACAGGCCTGGAAGAAATCGGTCATAATGTCAGGCACATAGCACCCGTACTACATCCTAGGGAAAGATATCCGCTTCCATTATTTTTTATAGATTTGGAACCAGCAAAAACAAATAATGAAATATTTCAGGTTCAACGTTTAGTATACTCGACAGTACGATTTGAAGAACCAAGACAGAAGCCCCTAATAGTACAATGCACTAAGTGTCAAAACTTCGGGCATACGAAGACATATTGCCATCACGAGGCCAGATGTGTTAAATGCGCCGGTTTTCACGCTTCAGACACTTGCCAGAGGCCAAAAGATGAGCCCGCTACATGTGCTCTTTGTGGTGAAGCCCACCCTGCAAGCTATAGAGGTTGTGAGGTGTATAAAAATCTTCACAAACAGAGATCACGCAACTTAGCGACGAAAACCCTTGGACCTGCTCAAAAAACTTGTCCTGAGCCACCTGAAATTGAAAATCAGGAAACATTCCCTGCTTTGCCGACTTCACCTTCCATCGCCGTCCAACAACAACCATCCATCTCTACACTTAAGGATTATCCTCAACAGAACTCAAGAAATTCTCAATGGCAGCCTTGCATCATTAAGAAGCAGCCTCAAAGTCAGGCGCCTCAAACCTCCCAATCCAAGCCCAAAAGCTCTAATACTCAACCTCAACAGCCTCGTCAGCCAATCCCTCCCCATCAGCTACCCTTAAGGGTCAAACTCCCGCCAGAGCACCCACACCCAGCTCCACTCGTTCCTACTCCCAAGATGAACCTCCCATCACAAGTCCAACAGAATTTAGATCCTACTCCTCGTACCCCACGTCGGACCCACCCTCCACCCAGCAATCCTATTCGCATAGGTTACTCATCACAACCTCATGACCTAAAACCACTTCCCAGCCAAACATCATCCGACATCAACTCTATCCTATCATCATTCCTGATAGATCTTCAACAAACTATCAAACCGCTTATAACTCTTCTCACAAGACTCTTTTCCGAAATCCCGTTTAATTTCCGATGAATACAAAGCCCCTAGCTATCCTCTTATGGAACGCTAACGGACTACAAAACCACCGTGACGAACTAGACATATTTCCCCATGACAATTATATTGACATTGCTCTTCTGACAGAAACACATTTCACTCAACGGACACAATTCTACATACGTGACTACATCACTTATAGATCTGACCATCCAGACAACACTTCCCACGCTGGCTCTTGCATCCTTATACATAAATCTCTATCGCATTCCCTTATCCCTTCTACTCCAACTGATGCCATTCAATCAACTTCTGTAATCCTTTCAACTCGTCCTTTCCATCTAACACTTTCAGCTGTATACTGTCCTCCTGGTAATTCCCTCTCTTATAGCCTACTTGATTCCTTATTTCAATCCCTCGGAGCGCGCTTTATTGCTGGAGGAGACTACAATGCTAAACATCAACGATGGGGTTGTCGAACATCCAACTCCCGCGGTAGCATCCTATCACGTGTCTCTTCTTCCAACAGTTATTCAATCCTCTCACCCATGAATCCTACATATTGGCCTACATCTCTGAAAAAACGTCCCGATATCCTGGATATATTTATCACCTCCCAGATTTCCTCCTCCCAATCCATTATCAAATCCCTGGATGACCTTTCGTCAGATCATAGTCCAGTTTTGCTTTTACTACATTCGAACTTTGCTCCTAAACCTAAACTTCCTAAACTAATTACAGGACGAGTGGACTGGGACAAATTTCGTCATGATCTGGAAGATAAACTGGACTTAAAAATTCCCCTCAAGACAAAACAACATATTGATAATGCCATAGAAAACCTTAATACAACTATAACAACGAGTATAAATAATAACACATTTGTTAATAATAAAAGCAATAATTTAAGACAAATTAACTTGCCACAGCATATTCGAATCTTATTAAGGGATAAACGCAGAGCAAGATCGAAGTGGCACAGGACTAGATATCCTTCAGACAAAACGTACTATACCGAATTGACTAACAAACTAAAATCAGAAATCAGAAAATATAAAACTCAACAATTACTGAACCTAACTGGAAATATTACAACAACTGACAAATCACTATGGACTACAACCAAAAAACTTCTGAAGTTTAAAGATTTTAATCACCCACTTCTTACTGAATCCCAAACCTGGTCCAAATCCGACGAAGAAAAAGCCCAGTTATTCGGTCAACATCTGTTCCAAATTTTCAACCCACATCCTGATATCCTTAATCCATCCCACATCGAATGTATTGAATCAGAACTGGATACTCCTCTCCAAATGTCCCTACCACCTAAAGCATTTCATCCCACAGAAATATCCAACATCATTCAAAGATTGCCCTCCTACAAAGCTCCAGGACATGACCTAATAACATCCCAGATCTTGAAACTTCTTCCTTGAAAAGCCATCCTATTCCTTACTTTCATATATAATGCTGTACTCCGAACAACATATTTCCCTGATCCTTGGAAAATATCTATTGTCAAAATGATCCACAAACCCAAAAAGACACCAGAATATCCATCCTCTTACCGTCCCATCTCTCTGTTACCCATCATGGGAAAAATCCTGGAAAAACTAATCTTAAAACGCCTGTACCCAATCCTAGATTCTAATCACATAATCCCAGATCACCAATTTGGATTCCGCTCCTCCCATTCCACTATACAGCAATGCCATCGTGTGGTAGACGTAGTATCCTCTGCATTGGAGCGCGGTATGTACTGTACGGGAGCCTTTCTCGATGTTGAACAGGCGTTTGATAGAGTTTGGCACCCGGGACTGCTGTACAAACTCCGAAAATTCCTACCATCTACCTACTTCCTCATTATCCGTTCCTACCTTACTGATAGATACTTTAAAGTAAATCACAACAATGTATATACATCCCGTTTTTCCCAGTCTGCAGGTGTTCCTCAAGGTAGTATCCTAGGTCCTATCCTTTACACAGTTTATACAGCTGACATCCCAACCCATCCCAACACTGTCATCACCACATATGCTGATGACACATGTATCCTATCAGTCAATAACGACCCATCTATTGCATCCCAAACCCTTCAATCCCACATCACAAACCTGGAAGAATGGTGTCAGAAATGGAGAATTAAAATAAATTCCAATAAATCCCATCAAATTACCTTCACCCTTCGTCGTAAACCAATGACTTCCTGTCCTTCAGTATCCTTTAACAACACCTCACTTATTCCTGTTGAACAAATCCGTTACCTAGGACTCCATCTGGACAAACGTCTAACTTGGAATCCTCATACCAGACTGAAACGACAAGAAACCGCTCGACGTTTCCGACTACTTCAACACTTACTAGACAAACGCTCTAACCTTCCAATCAATTATAAAAGACTGATTTACATGACTATAATAAGGCCTATTTGGACTTACGGGGTTGAGCTATGGGGCTCCACCAAGCCTTCAAATTCCTCTCGCATACAGTCCTTGCAATCCAAAATCCTTCGTAAAATCCTCAATGCTCCTTACTTTGTTACAAATAAAATTATCCATAATGACCTTAATGTTCCTTATGTATCAGATTTGGCCCAATCCAGATATCTGTCCTTCCATAATAAACTTCATAACCATCCCAACCCTCTTGTCTCTAACCTTGCTTCCTATTCGATTCCTGATAACCCTCCGAGGCGTCTGAAAAGAAGATGGCCACGTGATCTTCTAATATAGACATATTATTAGAGTGCTACCAATGGGTAGTTTCTCAACATGTGTTCCATGTCTTTATACCAATGTGCAAATTTACCAGATGTATTTTTTTGTATACAGTTGTAAATGTCATTTAAAATAAATAAAAAAAAAAAAAAAATTAGCAAAAGACCTGAAAATGGACTGCATAAAAATATCATTTTTGAGAATTGTTTCTTTTGCAGATATATAATGGAACTTATACAACATTTATGATAAAAAGAACTTCTATATGATTTTTTTTTTCTCAAACATGAGCTCTGTGATTTAATATAATCACAGTTCGTTGAAGGTTCTGAATACGTTGAAATCATTTTTTTCTTTAATTGTGAATCTCTCAACCATCTAAAAATGTGCTGAATTATAATTAACAGATACTTGATAAGCAAAAACACAATAATGTAAAAATATTTTTCCTTAAAAACATTATATTGCTATTGAAACTATTATTAGGTGGTAAATGAGTCACTATTTCAATCGGATAGAATGAAAACAATTTCCTGCCCTTCCATAACGATTAAACAATGCGGGTTGATGCAAGAAGTGGGATGGTGGGCAAGTTAATCACAAAACAATAAATAAAGCTGTGCACACTAGTGTTGGTCCTGCCGAGTAAGTCCACCGAGACGAGTATTGGTCCTGCAAACTTAGTCTCGGTCATGGTCTTGGTCTTGCGCATGAGTCTCGTATCGGTCTTGCAGTTACGTAACACTTTACTATTATAGAGATATTACTGTAATTTTTTAGATAGTAGAAACCTAACGAAGCCTGAAATTGCAGGAGTTAAATGGAAAATTATGGTAGTTATACCAATTATTTACATATAGTAACTAAGATTTTCAAGTATTAGACTATTTATTTGTAAAAAAAAAAAATAATTATAACGTTTTTCTTTCCAAAATGGTTTTAGTCTATATTGCTTCATAACGCCTTACGTGCTATAAAACATTCCATTTTTCAGATATCTTGCCTAAATTGAAAGTTTCCCAGTTATTGTTTGTGGCCTTTTTAAGTGCGATTATTTTGGTTTGATGAATTATTTTCTGCTTCAACTAATGTTTTCTACTGATAATGAAATAACTTAATATATATTAGTGGCTTGAACAAGAATGAAACGTCAACATTTGACATTTTTTAAATGTAGTTATTGATCAGAAACATAAATATTTTTATTAGTACAATTACAAAAAATAAAGTCAATTTATTAATAAGCATTTGCATATGTTTCTTGACTATAAATACAAATAGTATTGGATTTCACAACTGATCTCATTTTGATAAAATATTGACAATGATTGTCCTGATATTTGTATCAATACATAAAATAATACCTAACGTAGATTTATGGCCTATAACATCCATAGTTCATTAATGTTTGGTTAACTTAAGAAAATTACATCAAAACATAAAACGAGATATATATAATTTCATTAAAAACACTGTAAGATTAAGTAGATGAATATTGACTAAATATTCACTAACGTGTTAAAAAATACTAGTGTTCGCCCAGTGGTCGAAATTAGAGCATAGCCATTAAAAATTTGAGGAAAACATATAATTAAATAAAATAAATAAAGGGTAAATCTCGATTCAAAAATCCTCATTTATTAATACAAACAAAATTTCAATTTCAAATAAAAATTGAGCTGAAGTCATTTAAAATTATTTATAAGTAATACAAAATACACTCATTCAAAAATATTTAATTTTCATTTTAATTTATGTGTGATATTATCACAATAAATTAATGTTATGATTAAGCAAGTAAAAAATAAATTGAAATCAACTTTAAATCCATTTTTATTCAGAACTTCTATGTAAATAATGTTCTTTTAAAATGTTCTGTTATTGTTTAGTGCATAGCCATGCCCATTGCCATTGAAAATATAAATTTCAATATTTTAAATGAATGTACTCTAATTGCTGCCACATATAATATACACATTTTTCCAAAACTTTTATCCTGCAATTTGATTATGGTCACAGCAAATGCAGCTATTAATAGGAATGTTGTACTTTGATAGTCGAATGTATAGTGTCAGAAAATATTAAATTAAATCTTGGAATTGAAATTCTTTAATTAAAGTAGCCCCCAATAATACTTCAGTCTCATTCCTTTTCCATTAAACAATGCTTGTGCAGTATTTAAGTTAACAATGAGTATAATTATAGAATATATTTTTAAATTTAATTTATTAGGTATCATTCCAGTAAAATTAAATGATATCATATCTTCAAATAATTGACCCAATTACCTCAGTAAATGAAAAGTTTTCGATTTATCAAAAAATAAAATAAAAGAAATCGAATTTGGAAAAGAAAGAAAAAGTACTAAATGTTTAAAATGATATATCTCTGCAACAAATAGTCCGATTTGGATAATTTTTTTATTATTTTGTAGGTAATTCAGGAAGCTTTCAAATAAATATGGGTATTATCATAATTATAGGTGAAAAAGTGTGTACTTTTTGAGTTATTCGCAAATAAAATACTGAATTCATTATAAAAATGTATGCAGCTTGTCTTCGAGAATGTATGTTATATACATAAATTATAAAGGTTTCAAGGGGAAGACTTTAGCCAAAGTTTCATTGAAATATTTGAAGCCATATTGGTGCTACAGTCTAAAGCGAATCACGTTTTTCGGCCGCCATTTCGAAAGGAAAGGCCCGATGATAATGATACGTATGAAAAAAAAAACTTCTAAATATTATTGCGACGTTGTGTCAAAATTGACAAGAAATCGGTGAAGAACTTTCGGAGATAAGCTGTTTTGAACAAACTACTAGTATGTTTTTATTCACATACTATTTAATATTTTTATTTATTGATAATACTAAAGCTCGTCAATATCTATTAAACAAAAAAATAATGAAGAAAATCGGTTGAATAATAGAAGAGTAAAAGGGGCTGAACCGATTTGTGTTTGCCTATTTATATAATGATAATGGTAATGTATACCTAGTTTCCAATTTATTTTCTACTTGATCCAATCATTATAATATCAAACCGTTAAGTTTAAATCTGAGCACCAAATCGTTTGTTTAGATGACATATTGAAATCAAGCAGTAATTTTTTTCAAAAAAGAAATGAATTATTTGTGACTAGAGCTGACTTCTGACGATTGTTTTTAAAGATACAATTTTATTACGACGTATTATATAATTTCTGTGATGCTGAGACTTGGGGGTAACTGGCAGCCGTTGCGATGCCACAGTTGTTGTTCTTGTTCCTCGACATCCTGATGTAGCCTTGCTCGCCCCAGCTGGTGCCCCAGGAGTTCTTCACCAACCAGAAGTCCTGCCCGTTCTCAGATCCGTAACCTACTGCAAGGATACCGTGGTCTGGATTCGTGGCATTGCACTCACTTTCGTAATAAATTCCTGAAAAATAGGCATTCTTACATCTTCTTTTTTAAAATAAAAAACTGAATAGAATTCTCTAATCAAATCAAGATATAATTATGAATGTATGAGCTTTATATAATATAATATAGTTGAAAGCACGCTGAAAAGTAAGTATAAAGGGAAAATTAAAAAAAATTGAATTTGAACTTAGGAAACCTCAAATCGATTGATAAAGAAAACGCTCTTAAAATACAAAGTTATTTGAAGAGAAGTTCTAATACTGTATTCAACCAGGGATGCTTTTGTAACTCTATACCAATAATCTGCAGTCTGAAACCTCGGACCGAAATACTGACTTCTTTGGTTTGAAAATTTCATTGTACGTAGAATTGGCAATCACGCCATATCCCATGGCGCATAGGCTCCGACGCCCACTTAATAGAATAGAAAATAGAACTTTATGCTGGGACTAAATCCCCTTAGAATAACAAAGATGAATTAATACATAATAAAATACAAATCTGGTCAAAAACTAACTTATAAAAATTTAAACATTATATACATTATTTTTTTTTTTTTTTTTTTTTGTCTTTACATCTTCATCCGCACCTGTCATGGTAGTGACAATTAGCAGATTTGCTGTTTATAAAATTAATTCCATCATGTTTAAATTGAAAATGACATGATAGGCATGACGAAGAATGGAGCCCAGCAGCACCTCTTCCCTGGCCTGTTTATATCCTAAAATCAGGAAAGGAGATCTCTCATCCAGCTCCTTTTCAGTCGCCTCCTGATGAGCATTTCAGCCGTGGCCATGTCTTTGATAAGTCCATTGTGATGTCCGTGTAGTTTTAGATGAAATCGGGAGTAAAGAGTACGTATGTGCTGGTCAATGGTTGGTTGTCTTAGGTCGCTATGTAAAGTCTTGTTGTTGACGTACCAGGGAGCTGCAGTTATTAGTCTTAAAATTTTAGATTGAAAGGATTGTAGTTTTTGTAAGTGAGTCTTTTTTGCTGAACCGTAAATCTGTGAGGCGTATGTCCATATGGGATTGAGCAGGTTAGTTTATGTATTTAGTTTTTGTCTAATTTTCAATTTTGATTTAGAAAACAGTGAGTACAGTATTTTCAGTCGCTTGTTCAAACAACTTGTTGTTTGTGTCGCGTATACTGTCCGTCTGAGGAATTGGATTGTTGCTAATATAAACTGGTGGGCATGTTTCTCGTCGAAGCGTAAATGTTATGTGTTGTGATTTGTTATGATTTAATCTAATTTTCCAGAGTGAATACCAATTTTGTAAATTTAGTAAAATTACTTATTATTGTGATGAGAAAAAAAAAAAAAAAGAAATAACATATCTATATATACATAACTTCACAATTTATAAACAATAGGCTATCTAATAGAAAACTAATTTAATACAAAATGTAATAATATTTACAGTGATTTATATAATAATAAGCAGACACTAAGATAAAATAAAATCTCAGGATTAATTGTGCTATAAAGATAAAAAAAAAGGAACTATATATACGTACTTACTCATATTGGTACACAGTGAAACAAAAGTATAAAATATAAACATATATACCCGAAAGAAAGAGCACAACCTGAGGTGAAGAGAAATACAAATAAATAGTAAAAATAATATTCAAAGATCATTGCTGTTTTATGTTAAAACTTAAACATTAGGCATCACCATTTACTTCTCACAAATTAAGTTCATAAAATGAAATTTATGGTTACGAATCATCTGTTTGGGATGTAAGGAGATATTGGAAAAGGAGGTATTTGAAGGTTGACAGTGAAGAGGCATGACGGATGTTATGTGGCAAAGAATTCCAACGGAGCGGGCTAAGAAGGAACGTTCATAGGTTTTTGTCTTATGGAATGGAATATAGAGGTCAGAATCACGGGATCTCGTTTTTATTGAGTGGACTAAAGGTTTCGGCTTGAGGAGACAGTAGATGTAGGAAGGGTGCTGATCGTTTGATATAAGAAATTTCCAAGGAAGTATAGGCGGCGGGAAGAGGGGAAGAGCCACTTTGACTCGGCATATAGGTGGGACTCATGAGACAAATCTTAAAAATACGTTTTTTTTTTTTGTTTTTTTTGTTAAAAAAGATTTTTCGACGCCAGTCTCTACAAAGAGTAAATATCCAGCGATTACTGAGTTCTAATCTGAGCTACCTTCGATTATTATTGCGAAATGATTTATTGGCTTATGTCGCCTTCAATGTTTTTAATAAAGTACTAATAAGTTCTCACCTCCCCCATAGAATTGAAAGGATTTATGGCTACCATCGATGGCGACAGAAACTGGACCTGCCGTAGCTACTGCATTCTGGAGGGCTGCTTCATCGTTGGTTTCGATATTGAAGACTTTAGTCACCGTAGCTGCCGAAGCTGATGCCTTAAACCTGCAACTGCCTACCTGAATCATAAGTAACTTATGTATTATTTATACTATCAAATAACATCAATTTTAAACTGATTTTCTGCTCACAGTGTATCAGAATTATATACTATTCCCGCTCGGACCCAAAAGGCTCTGTCCGAGTAAGGCTAGTCTCCTAAAGAGATGAAAGATTTCCTGCTTGGTTTATAAGCCTATAGCTCTATAAGTAGACTATGAGCTACCGCCCATTTCATTTAACGGAAGGACTTAAAGCTAATAACAATGTTTGTTTGTTGTTTTTGTTTATTTAATGAAATTTACAACTGTATACAAATACAACTAGTAAATATGCGCAAATTATAAATAATTACATGCACAGGATTGAAGAGATACTACCCAGTGGTAGCACTCCCTAAATAACTCTAAGTAAGAAGATCATGAGGCCATCTCCTTTTCAGATGTCTAGGAGTATTATCAGGGATCGAGGAAGAAGTAAAGAGAGGAAACAAGCGGATTTGAATGGGACGGGAGTTTATCATGAAAGGATAGATATCTGGCTCGAGCTAAATCAGTGACATATGGTACATTAAGGTCTTTATGAATGGTATTATTTGTGACAAAGTATGAAGCAATAAGGATTTTGGATTGTAAGGATTGGATACGATAGGAATTCGATGGTTTGGTGGAGCCCCAAAGCTCAACTCGGTATGTCCATATAGGTCTTATTATAGTTACATAAATAAGTCTTTTGTTATTAATTGAAAGTTTAGAGCGTTTGTCTAGTAAATGTTGGAGCAGTCGGAAACATCGAGCAGTTTCTTGTCGTTTCAGCCTAGTATGAGGATTCCAAGTAAGACGTTTATCCAAGTGGAGTCCTAAGTAGCAGATTTGCTCAACAGGAATAAGCGGAGTATTATTGAAGGATACTGTAAGACAAGAAGTAATAGGTTTACGACAGAGGATAAAGGTGATTTTATGGGATTTATTTTTATTCTCCAATTTTTATACTATTCTTACGGCTTGTGATATGTGATTGAAAAGTTTGGGAAACAATTAAAGGGTCATTATTAACAGATAGCAAACATGTGTCATCGGCGTAAGTGGAGATGTCAGTGTCAGGATAGGTTGGGATGTCAGCTGTATAAACTCTGTAGAGGATGGGACTGAGGATACTACCTTGTGAAACGCCTGCAGACTGAGCAAAGAGGGGTGAGCAGACATTATTTTGGTTTACTTTGAAGTATCTATCAGTAAGATAGGAACGGATAATAAGGAAGTATGTAGGGGGTAGGACTTTTCGGAGTTTGTACAGAAGACCTGGATGCCAGACTCGATCAAACGCCAATAACAATGTTAAATTTTACATAAGCATCATCATCAACACACAACTTTCATCAGTCGGTCGAAAGCTTTCAATACAACAATTTAAATTAAAGAGGCTAAATTTGATGGTTTATTTAACGGAAGAACCGTCACCTGAAATATTGTTATAATGTGAAGAATTTGTCCCTAAAAGAGTATTCACCTTGGCTGATGATGTAATCGGTTGTTTTGAAAACTGACGACGTCAAGCCATCTAATTAAGTGAATCGAAGAAAATTAGGAAGTTGAATGAAGAAAAAATTCACATAGTCAGTTTCCCTTTTTATATTTTTTGGGATGCCGAATCTGAATTTGATGCTCTTGAACGATATTGCCCATTGCTTTCTGAGAAATATGCAAAAAAACAGCTAAAATTCCGAATTGTTTTTAGTTTTTTGGACAGTGCTGTTAAACTATACATTTTATCGAAATTATTATTAAATAAAAAATCAAATAAGATAAAATATACTATCAATTTTATAATATTTTTTTATGTAGTGCAAACAGATTAGTAGGTAGAGAATTTTGACTGTTTGTTAATTTCACAAGAAATATCTGTTTTCTTCTCCCTCTTTCATTCCCCCCCCCAAAAAAAACTCACTATTCATCATCTCTTGAAGAAATATCTTATAATCCATTTGAAAGAGCATTAAATTTCGTATGAACTTCATTTTCATGAACTTTATGAACATTCAATAGACACGTTAATATGTGAGAAGATCAAGCGGATGTTAAAGAGCGTGAAATTTTATGTGTTCCATCTGTTAAAGAAGCATATTTTATTTGTTATATATCATATTTATAACGATGTTTCAATGTAAATACACAAAGTAGCATAAATTGACTTCAAATACTTTAATAATTTAAATTGGCCGCACTGATAACTTTTAGTTAGTTTCTCATAACAAATTCTGCAACACGGAGCTCAAATTAGGTTCCCGGAATTCCCATTGCCGAAACGCCCCAAGTAGGTTTTTTGATGCTTAAATGCAAGAACTAGACGTGTCTTGGTCTTACGCACTCAGTCTTGGTCTTGCACAAGTGTGTTGAAGTTACTTATTAGCTTATTGTTACTTATTAAATACCTTACTTTAAAAACTAAAAAAAAAACAAAAAAAAAACAAAAAAAAAAAAACAGAATAGGAACATTTAGATGTTTCATTGACATAAACATCGTAAAGTCCAACCAAATTAATATTATTGACTTGACAATACATTAAAGGTATTGTCAAGAAAGATAGTGACAGGCATGGAATGGAAGAGTTGCAAAGTAAAGACAATGTAATGCCACCAATTTTTTTTTTTTTTAATTTATATATTCAGTAATATAACATTCTGTCATGCTCAAAATAATTATAGTGAGATCAGAAACATAAAACAAACAAAAGCAAATTATTTAAATAAAAAATCTAGTGTGTCTACTCACATGACTTTCCTACCAATTTAAACAGCTCTTTCAATTTACAATGTGTTAAAAAAAATAACACAAGTGAATTAGACATATTTTCCTCATAACCGATCAGAGAAATCATTAGAGTACGATTTCTTTCATGAAGCAAAGTAATGTAAACGGTGAACAATTAATAAAATCGAAGAGAAGGGTGGTTGGAGTGATTAATCAAAATAAAATAGTAAATAATTGTATTTATTTTTACAATAAATTATAGGTATATGGATATATTATATACGATAAATTATTTGTATAAACATTTTTACAATTAAAAATAAATACAATTATTTATTTTTACTATTTTATTTTGACTGATCACCCCAACCAATTATTCACTTCACCAATTAATCTCTTCAATTATTCACTACAGACAACCATCAGCCCACAATTATTAAAATCAGTGTATAAAATTCAACACCGATAAATTGCCGAATTTAGACGATTTTTACTGTCACTTACGTATATATGTAATATATAGTTAGTGTAAGTATTGCGATCGAGAAAATTTTTGAATCTGAGTTTCCAACGGATTTACATGTTTTGAGGTACCCTGAGTCGAAATGACCAAGTCCCGAAAAATGGTCTGTGTGTCTGTGTGTTCGTATGTTAGCAATCTAGCCCAAAAACAAAAAGTCCTATGAAACTGATATTACGTATTTAAGATAGGTATATACCTTAGATGTGACGGCAACTTTTTCCTTAAAATCGGCTAACCGGAAGTGCCACTTTATATCAACGCTGAAACACATTTTCACAATTTTATCAAAAACGGCTCCAACGATTTTGATTAAACTCGGTGTACCATTGTATAATTAAGTGGTCTTTAATATCAATTAAGTCTTATCCCCATTGATGTCACTTAACAGGGCTTAAATGGCCAATGTTCATATATGTATTCCTCTAAAGTACCTTTAATATGGTTTATTTTAAAAAGTTAACCATTTCGCATTATTCAGAGTTACGAAAAAATGCTACATATGACTTTTGAAAGAATTTGATAAATTAATAAAGGAGAAAAAATAAATAAAAATGCAGAAAAACCTGCGTTCCAACAGACTGTAGCGCCTAAATGTACCGATTTCAATGTAACTTCATTAAAGTCATTTTCTCGATACCCTTTAAATTTATCTATATAACATACTTCAACGAAAAGAAGCTGGAAAAAAAGTTACGAGGGATGTTAAAATTAAATTCCGAATAACTAAAAAAGTATACGCTTTCTTGTCGATATTTTTTTAATTTTAATTTTGTCGATATGTGTTTTCAAAAGTTTATGGAATTTCCTAAAAAACAAAAAAAAAAATCGATAAAATCGGACAATTAGGAGGAAAGATATAGTCTCTAGTTTTTTTCCCTGAAGAGATGAAAACTTGGATAAATTTAAAATATATTTTTTTAATTGTTGAGACTAAAAAAACCTTTTTTCTATAGATAGTTAATAAAGTGTCTTTCCTAAGAACATCTTTCATAAGAAAGTAGTACCTAAATTTATACTTTTTTATCAATTCTATATTTCAACACTGCAATCACCACCTCTGGAATCAACTTACTCATTGTTTGCATAGATAACTTTTTCAACTAAAAATATCACTAAAATGACATCACTCAAAAATGTTGAAATTGGTGTTAGTCATTCTGTGGTTTATAAAAGCAGATAGAGTGAATAGATTTTCATTGCCTGTCGTCGATATATTAAATAGACATTTTGTCATTATAATGGTCTTAATGACTTGTTATTTGTAAGCTTCAAGCTTTAGCTCCGTTTATAAATCCACTTCGAAAAATTTTATAATAGCCCAGCATTGCCCGAAAATAATTTCTATTCAAAATAGATCGGTAAGTGAAAGTTGTGTGTTGCGCGCATCAGATTTTTTAAAATAATTTCGTATGAAATATAATAACCTTATTAAAAACCCTAATGGGAAATTTAATTAATAACTATTTTTCCTATATCATAATACGTTTTTTTTTTTTATAACAGTCCTGGTCTTGCAGCAATTAGACGGTCTTGAGCAGCATTATGTAGGCTGATTCAGCCATAGTCTTCAATACTTTGAGTTGAGGTCTATCTATTCTTTGATGTTGACTAAGCAACATAAGTAATACATATACGTATTACCTAAGTTGTACAATCTTATCTACGGTTGGACCGGTGAGTTGAAAAAAAAACCACAAGTCGTAGAGACCTTATTTTCGATAAAAGCATTCTATACCAAAGCACAAA